AAGGTTTTTAATTAATTCTCCCTTCTTTTTACGCATATCTGGCCCGGACTCTTACTATATTCGCCCTTATATTTAACTAGTGCCCTAAATAGCGTATATAGGATCCTGCCTTCGTACGTAGCCCTCGTCCCTCTAACCGCTAGCAATAATACGACCTAAGCGCCCTCGTTATATTTTTCTTTACTCGCGCGGCCAACCTAGAGACCGTCCGCTAATATCTTATAAACTTTATATCCGCGGGCCGGTTTCTAGGCGATTCTATCGTAGAACTAACTTTCTCCTCTAGTTAGCTCTAGCTCTTACTCTAACTATCGTTAGTAGCTATTTTCCTATACGTATCCGGCCCGGGTTCGTGCTATATCCTTATCTAACTCTATTATAGCCTCCCTAGTCCTTTAGCTAAAGCTAGCGCCTACCTCGCTCGTCTTATAATAGACTAGGTTCGTGTCTATACAAATATATCCGAGTCCCTTATGAGTCTAGTATCCGGCTCGGATCCTGCCTATTTTCTAATAATTCAAGCCCGATAATATTCGCGATACTATTCAAACATATAGCGAGCTCCGCGCTATTGCCCGTGGCTCTGCCCGTGGCTCTGCCCGTGGCTCTGCCCGTGGCTCTGCCCGTGGCTCTGCCCGTGGCTCTAGCGGCGCGAGTTCGGCCCGGAAGCGCTCCTCCCTCGCTATAGAGGACCGTCCTAAGCCTAAGACTCCCACTAAGAAGATAAAGATAAAATCGAAGTCGAAGTCCGCCCCTACTCCGCCCCGGTCCTTATCCGTAAGTGAGAAAGAAAGCGAGGATAAAGTAAAGGAGGTTGTGACGTTCGGGTCTAGACTAGCTACCGGGTAGGTAGAATAGAAGTCGGTTTATGAACTAAGTACACTAGGATGTCGTTGACTTAAACGGTCGGGTCACAGTCTATATGCGAGATAGTAGATCTTGCGTAGATAATTATATTAATAGCTAAGGAAAGCTGGTAGAGACTAACTATAGTGAAGCTAGGTGTCAGGGGGGGTCGGTCGGCAGGTAGGACGGGGAACACTCGGTCAGGCTGATCTGGTCTATTGCTACGGATAGGCACTCCTCAGGTAGGGCAGGCTCTATGTACAAGACGTAGCTCGAAGAGCTACAACAGAAGACGGTCGGGATCGCGACAAAATGCAAAGGCAGGCGCGAGTTCACGTGACTGCCAGGTGCAGGGTGGGTCCCCGCTCTTGACCAGCTGTGACACTAGGCTTCCTGTACACTAATTACGGTAGTAAGAGCTCACGGGGGCGTCGTGATCCTGTGAGCCATGTATTATTATTAGAGCGCAGGCTTACGGTGAGACCGTGAGCCGTAATACGTGCGACGGACGTGGGTGGTTTAATAAATAGAAAAAGTAAGGGGCACGTGAGAGGCGCATACGGTCGTATACCGGGTCGTAACATAATATCTCCCCTCCCGAGATTCTGCCCTAGAATTAGTTAAAACTAACCACTCCCTTATCTCCGTAGGCTACGTCTATGCTCGTTTCCTTGTTATTTCGTGTATACTAATACTATATCTAGTCGTTCTTCCGATACTACTCGAAAAGCTCGCGAGCGCTTAAGTCTCGCTTATGCTATTATACGTGACGGTGTTAACGTAGATATGCCGTGCACCTATTATTTTAAGAATCATAAGCCGTGTCGTTTTAATAATAGATCGTCGAAATATAGCGAGTATATTCGTCGCGGTCGCCCTTACGACGGGACGTTTATAGCGTCGTCCTATATATATGCTATTTTTGTTGCTTTCTTTTTCTTACTATCTATAATAAATCGTTTACTCGAGTAATATAAAAAGCTCATAAAAGATAAGGAGTAGGCTAAAGAGGCTCTGCTTCGTTTTCAGACTGATCTCGCCGCTACTATTAGTCGTTTGTCGAGGATATGGAAAATCCGTCGGCGTATACGGGAGCGTATCGACGATTCCGTTCGCCGTGGCTTAGCTAGTATTAAAGATAACGAGGGTAACGAGCCGGGGTTTCTAGCTCTTTCCGAGGCCCTTCTTATTCTAGATAATCACGAGCGCTAGGTCGAGAGTAACTTACGGTACTTAGGTCTTCCCGATAACCCAGACTAGGCGTCCTTCGGTCTTAGTAATAACTTCACGGGCGTAGCCCTTTCGCCTAGAGCCGTAGCCGCTAGTAGTAGCTCCTTACGAGGTATTAATAATCCTTAAGGTATTTAGCGGGTTCCTCTATATTTTCGCTACTTTCGTATCCCTTCTATTTAATAAAGTATCTAATTTCTCCGTTAATTATTTATTTATTGATAATTCGTTCTAGTTCGTAGAGTTTTTTAAGAACTTCTAGTTCGTAGTTTGTTTTTGCGTTTTATAGTGCTTTTTCGAGTAATAAGATATAAAAGACTAGGTATATCCTTATACTTAAGGGTAATAAGAGCTTATAGTTAGTGTTTAAGATAACTTCGTCGATTTTAAATAGTCTAAGTTTTTTATAATCGAGCTTCGATAAAGGTCGAGTTATTATAAAATTTTTGCGTAGTAGGTAGACTATATCTCCTCTCCGAAAGATCGGTCCTTTCGATCTTTTCTTATTATAGTATTTCGATATTCGTAAACGTACGAATTCGAGTTATTGTTTTATATATTCGTATAGTGAGCGTAGCTAGTCCTATTAAAGAGTAGTACTCTTATAGGCGTAGTGGAAGGAAGATCGCGACTAATTCGATGATCTTTAGGGTAGGCAAACAGATAAAAGAATAACTTGACTTGATTCAAAAGAACTATCTAGTAGTGAATGAAGGCCTATATTTGTAGGCGTGAGGGCGCTATAATGCCCTATAAAAGAGTGGATCAAACCGAACCTAGTAGAAGATTATAGAAGGTTTGATTTATAATAGCGAGTGTGGCAGTACTAACCTCCGAATATTATAGAAGGCTTCAAAAGCACTACATTCGTAAGCGCATTCGTAAGCGCATTCGTAAGCGCATTCGTAAGCGCATTCGTAAGCGCATTCGTAAGTGCTATAGACCCTTGTATTAGTCCCCTGAAAGATCCCTATAAGATTTAGGGGGCCCCTATAAGTGTCATATAAGAGGGCCTCGTAAGGCACCTCTAATAGGGGCATTAGGTCCCTATTTTTAACAATGTCGTTATCGCGTAACGGGATATTATATATAGCACGGCGAAGCGATAAGGTTATATTATACGCCCGGAAGATATAGTAAATAAACTTCTTCTACTTTAACTTATAGCTTCGGCCCGTGGCGGCCGATATAATACATAAGGGACGATAGCGGTATATAGCTTATTAATAGCTCGTAAGCTAGTACTATATTTAGTAGGGAGTATACGCGAGTATATCCTCGGCCCGGTCGAATATATCGTCCACGGCGCGCACGAGTATATAAAGTTATACTTCGCTTACCGCGGGGCTCCTTACGATATAGCCCCTCTACCTACTGAGGATACGATCCTCCTAGTACGCGCACGAGCCTCGGAGGGGTAGCGCCGCCGACGCTCCGATAATACCGAGCGGCCGTTTATAGAACCGCTAAGGCTATTACGTATGCCTTAACTAAGGCGTTATCTCGCTAGCGGCGATAGAAAACTACTTCTTATCTTCCCGCCACGCGCGTATCGCCTTCTACTATATCCGCCTATCCTCGACGACCTCTTACGTACAGAGGATCTAATCGTTAAGGTTCGGCGAGCGTCGGGCCGGCGGCGGTACCTATAGCTCTAGTAGACCGTCCTTACGCGGCTAGTAGCTAGGGGGAGGCGAGCTCGTAGCGGGAGGCGTTACTAGCTAGGAATATAACTAAGTAGTTAGGTAGGGCTATGGCAATAACGAAGATAGCGGGAGAGATATAGTATATAAGAAGGGGATATAGAATAATATATATATATATAAATCCGTAGAATAGGTTTAGTTACGAGAGGGGAAAGATAGACTTTTTTTATATCGCTCTTTCTCTTACGCTTATACTAATACGATAAGATCGGGATCTATCCTAGCGTAGTCACGGATATATAGATCCTCTAGAGATATAGTAAGATATAGGGGTATTTAGGGGTAGCAAGGGTGGCCTATCTTATAAAAGGAGGAGAAGCGTATATAATTAGGTAGGAGGGGCAAGGGTTGCTTTTTCGCATATAAAAGAGCGAGGGAATACTAACCCCGTAGGGCTAAATACGAAGATCCGAGACTTATTAAGGGCTAGTTTATACTTATATAAAATATATAAGCGAAGTATAGGATCCTAAATGTTGTGGGCTAAGCCCTGTTGGAATAACTTGGTAGCTCAGATTGAGTCTATCTAATAATAAGGTAGAAGAAGAGAAAGAAGAGGGAATTTACTGTCCCCTTTTCATGTGAAGACCATGCGAGGTCTATGCGTCCTCGCGGGCACGCGGCACGTGCCTAAGTGAAACGGGCTAGGTCTTGTACCTAGCCGCCAGTAACGTGTAGAACCGTAACATAGGAAAAGGCTTAGGAAGACCTCTCGTAAGAGTAAATATAACAGTGGATTGAACGTATCCCGAGGCACGTTCAGAAAGTTATTAAATTAGCGGGTGGAAATAAGTACGTCGAGGGCCGGGGAACGTCCCTAGTAAATTTACACTAAAATTAGCTATTTTAGTCGATATGTAGAATCAGAGCGACCAAAAACTTTTGGGAGCGTCCTCCGTACTTAAAAGGAATCCAATTACGACAGCAACCGTGCATTTTCCGGTGGCGTCCCTGCAGCCTCTCCTTATAAGCTAGGGAGGCTCATTGTGGAGACAACTGCTTGGGCGTGGGCCGTTGCATTTGTAATTATCTTGTCCATTATTAATGGACCGCAACGTTATCTTTTTATCGTCCCGCGACCCGCTTATAGGGGATCGATCGAGGGCGACGATACATGTACATTAAGACTCACAGACTCACAGACTCACAGTCAGCTAGCTAACTATCCTCATTCCTAAGTTCCCTGAGAGAAATAGCTATCCAATCACAATAGTCACCATGTCAAAGTCGCTACCGACGCATCGTCGCGCCTGGCGCCGCACAGACGACTACTTCAAGGGCAGCCCGAAATTGAAGCTGGTCACTGAGCCTCTCCCGCTCCCCCTCGCGCCCACAGCCGTTCTGATAAAGGTCCACGCGGTAGCTCTCAACTACCGAGACAGTAACATTTCTAACGGCGGGAACCCGTGGCCTGTCACTCCTAATGGCATTATTGGAAACGACGCAGCAGGCGAAGTCCTCGCCATTGGCGATAAGGTCGACAAGTTCAAATTGGGCGACCGTGTGGCCCCCAACACGGATACAGAGAACTTGACCGGCCGTGAGTCGAGCAGGTCTTGGCTGGC